ATTAAATTAAATTAAATTAAATTAAAAGAAACTCTTCCAGATTTGTGGATTGGCTGAGTTCTATTGTAGCTCAGGGTACTGTTTGGTTACTAAATTCCCAAAGGACAACCGGGTTGGGTCTGTTGCAACTCCACATTGGAACGTTGTACAGCCCCTAAAAGATTCAAGACATTCATTATGGGGTTAAGCATTTCTTTGCGGTCATCCTTGAAAGCTTGGTTAATTTATAAAGGTTGGTGCCACACAACTTTGGGCTGCTTGCTTACTTAGGAGTGTTAAAAAGAAGCATTGATGGCATTTTTGCACCATCCCTTAACACGGAATTTGGTTCGCATCTTTACAAGGCAGTACAATTCCCTGTTTTTTTAATTGCACATGTTGCATGCTTCCTCAGATGTTTTGGGGGGAATGGACCCTCCAAACCAGAGTGAGCCTCCCTCTAGTTCCAGGCTGGCAATTAATGACTGGGGGGAACGTCAAGGGCAGAAGCGGGCAGAGACCTGATGTCACCTGCTAGTAAAAAAAAAGAGAGATAAAAATTAGCTGGCATTATAAAAGGGGCACATCCTTTGGGAGCAGGTGCACAGAGGGCAACGGACTTTGCTTCCATTTTATGAATGAGCAAGCCCCGCCCTGTGGCAGCCATTTTGTGAGTGTGCCCGTGGCCCACTTGCCCCTAAGTTTTTTCCCTTATTCATTTTACAGCTGGTTCTTGGTCTCCTTCCCAGATTTTTCTGCTCAAGCATTTCTTTAGCCAAGCCAAAAAAAAAAAAAAAATTGGGCAAGGGAGCACCTCTTTATTGGCCTGATTCTTGCTCTCCAAGGCTGATATTCTTGTCCTCAGAAGCCGCTGGCGTGCCAACGCGAGGCCGGTCCAGTCCCTACTTAGGGAACCCACAGGCTGCAGCAGGTGGGCGGTTATCATTTTTGCAAAGGGGGGCGGCGGACAGTATGTGCAAGTCAGAATCCACATCTGGAAAGGTTTAGCGGAACAGCTGGGACCCTCTACAAACTTTTGTGGTTTTATTGTGGGTTTTTCGTTTCGCTGTCGGCTAGCCCGGTTTTCCCCTCCAAGGATTCTTCTGCGCCAGCTGGAAATAGATTATGAACACGAAAAAAAGCAAAACAGAGATGAAAAGGAAATAATCCATTTGGAAAAGGAGGAGGGGTCAATGGCATTTGAGGCCAAGATCTCTCCCCAGCTGCCTTTTGGATAAAGAGGGCTAGTATATGGATTTATCATTCATTTGTTTGCCTTTTAGCCTGTCTTTCCTCCAGGAGTGCAAATCGCCCCCTTTCCCATCCTCCAAACAACCCTGTAAGGTAGGATCTGGGGGGGATAAAGTGACCTTCACACCTTGCCATTAAGCGGCTTGCTTCTTTGGGACTTAAGAGGGCTGCCGCAACCCAGCCGGGCCATTGGGGAGCATGGTTTCTGGCTGAGTTTCTCTTGAAAACCTAGCTTGTTTCTCGCTAAACCATGATGGCACAAGCCACAGATTAGTGTGATGTGTGAACGAGGCGGTAGTGGCTGG